TCTTCGTTTGCCCATAGTCTCATGTCCCGCACCCCACTGTCCCTCTGTCCCCCGGCTGGGCAGAACCCCGACCCTGACGCACCGACCTGGTTGCCTGCACCCCGGCTGCTGAGCACCGTGGGAGAAACCACACCCGGGGAGCAGCCGGGGCCTCAGTGCCTCGTTCCCCTGGCCGGCATTCTCCTGCTCCCCTCCCCACTCGGTTTCACAGAGAAGTCCCTCCGCAGGGATGCTCTCAACTTCCTCTCACCCAGCAGGCACTGACTTCCCTGCACCTCTTCCCGTGGGTCACAACGGAGGGTGTGTGTGTGTGTGTGTGTGTGTGTGTGTGTGTGTACTTGATTTTCACCATCTCCCTCCCATCAGCAACTCCCCCCCCGCCCCCCGCAGCGCTTGTGAATCTTTCTTCCCTGGGCCCCATATGCCCCCTCCCACTACTGCCCCACTCTCCCCTGGGAAGGTGTCCCGGATCTGCTGCCCCACTTCCCACCCTTTATTCGACGCCCAGCGGTACCTGTGAAGGGCCCGCTAAGCACCAGGCACCGTGCTAGGCCAGACTTCCCCGAAGTCAGCAGCGATCCCCTCATTGCTGAAACAGAGCCTCTTAGGTTCTCAGTGCTGAACTTCCGGGCTGCTCCTTCTCATGGCTTCCCCTTCCTTCTCTGACCCTAAGGTGTTTTCCAAGAAAGGTCTCCAGGACGACTCAGACCCAGTCTAGACGAGAGCTTTTATTCTCTCCCGCCACAGCAATTATGGCAACTGCAACTGGGTCATTAATGGCGTCATTAGGAGGTAATGTACATGCAATGATGTGTTAGAATGTAAGCTCTTCGAGGGCAGGCCTGTTTTGCCTACTGTTGTATCCAACCATCGGCCCCTCACTGGTGCTCAGCAAATCATTATGGAAAGGGGGAGGTGGGGATCCATGCCTGCCTTTTCTCCCTGGTATCCCCAGCCCCTCATGCCACGCCTGCTCAGAGAAGATTTTTGAAGGCTTACTCTGTTCAAGGCTGCATTAGCCACCCTGTATACACCATCTCATTGAATCCCCACAACCACGTTCCACGTTACAGTTGGGCAATGGAGGCCCAGAGAGGTTGTGTCATTTGCCCAAGGTCACACAGGCAGTACGGGGCTGTGTCATGATCTGATTCCAGGTCTTACTCTGTAGTGAGTTGGATGATGGCCTTCCAAAGTGAAGCCCATGCCCGTCCCCAGAACCTGTGAGTGCTACCTTAATTTGGAAGTTGTATTCAGTTACAGATCCAGAGATGAGATATCTTGGATTAGAGTAGGCCCCAGATCCCATGACCAGTGTCTTTAGAAGAGAAGGGGCAGGGGAGGGAACCTACAGAGAGGGCGGGAGGAAGGCAGGGCTACAAAAACCAAGGCCCACGAAGGCTCACTTGCAGCCACAGAAGCTGGGAGAAGTGTGGATCGGACCCTCCTTCAGAGCCTTCAGAAGGAACCCACCCTGCCCACACCCAGACTTTGGACTTCTGGTCTCCAGAACTCAGAGACAATAGATTTCTGTTGTTTTTAGCCATGGCAGCCCCAGGAAACATAGACCCCAGACCACAATGGTGCTGGACCCGGTGCTTCTCACCAGGCCTGGAAGCCAGGGGCCACACGAGGCCCAGGCTGTGTGTCTGGGGCCTGCTCACATGCCTCCTCTGGGCCTGATCACTCTGTAGTAAAGCAGCACTCCAGACACCAAGCATCCCTCCAACTCTGACATTCTACAACCCTCCAGAAAAACCATGAGCCAGGCGAGCAGGGCTATGTTGGGATTTTCAAATTTATTCCAACGTGCTGTGTGTTTTTTTTTTAAAAAATATCCTCAGGCTGAACACTCAGCCGGAGCTGTAATAAAGGCAATTATTATACTTGTAAAAACCTCTCATTCACAGTACAGATGTAATTTACAACAAAGGTCACACACATCAATACTGAGCATTTTTTTCCTTTTGTACATCAGACTCTGTGCTTTAGACCTGCATGGATTTTTTGTTGACTTTTTTTTTTCTTTTGCACTGATATATACCATACCGACATTGCAAGATGCAAGTATAGAAACTGGAGTTTAAATAAAATCACAGGCAAAACTACCCCATCCCAGTGTGGCTGCTGTACATATCTACAGGACAATTTTTGGAATGTATTGCCATTTAAGAACATAGAAACTCTCTACAGACAAGTTCACATACGGAATACATACACCTTTTAGAAAAAAAAGGCAAATATTTATCTTACAGAGCGCAGGTATCTTACATTTGCCTACACGTTTCTTTTTCTCTTCTTTCTTTAAACACTAGGTTTAGTAAAGTGATCATAAGTGCCGAAGCGGTTTTCTAATGGAAAAGCGGACTGGAGCCACAACACGGAAGCAGAATTTGGGGGACAGGCCTTCGGGAACTTTCTCCCCCTGCTCGATGCTGCAGATCTGTCTCCGAGGCAGGACTTTTGCTTTAAGGAGGATTTTTCTGGAGAAAGGACTGGAGAGCAGTTCAGCTCAGATATATTGCTGGTTCCTATTCAGAAGTGCAGGGTGAGAATGGAAAGGGGCTCTAGGGATCCGGAAGCTAATTCTTTCAGACTTTTTCCCACAGAGGGAAGCAGAGGGACTTCTGGGTCTGGAAGTTGGAGGTGATGGAAAAGGGAGAGTGGGCAATTTGCTGTCGTCAGCATCCTGGAGGGTCTCTGTGGCTGGGCCAGAGTGCAAGCCATGGGCAGGGGGGGGCCTGGGGAACAGTGCCTCGGAGAGGAACGGGGTTAGTACCCAGAATGGCCCTGAGCTTGCTGAGGGTGGAGGGCATCCTGGAGGTTGGCCTGGGGGCTAAGTGTCTTGGAATTCCCAACAGAGGGCGAGGGCTGGCTCTGAGACCTCTGCAGTTTGGTTCCAGCCACAGTGCCAACAGCCAAGGACCAGAGCGAGCCTGGACTGAGGCATGGCTGGCTGGCGCATGTCGACAGAGCACCGACAGGTGTCTATGGCCACAAATCAGCACTGCTCTTGGTACTCTTAACAGGGACAGGAGCGTCACACGCAAACTGCAAATGTGGGAGTGGTTGGGAGTGGGGCAGGGGGCCCCGGGGAGGGCATGGAGTGAGCGTCCTTTTCCAAATTATGGAGGTGTGTGTGCTGGGGCCTCTGTGCTCGGGGGAGCAGGGCTAGAGTCTAGCAGGAGGGGTTAGCACTGTGCCCAGTGATATCTGTCCCAAGCTGGTGGCACTGATTCCATCCCTCTGGGGATCGGTGTGGGGCAGCAGCCCTTAAGCCAGATTCTGTTTGTGCGTTGTGTCCCTGTCATTGAGAAACGGATCTCCGGTAACTCCTGGTCCCTGTCCCCTCTGCCTGTGCCTGTGGGCCTGAGTGGCTGTGAGGACTCTCCCCTGGTGGCCACATTGTCCATGACTGGGTCTCCTAGGAAGGAAACCTCAGTTGGCAGGCTGTCCCAGAACAGGGGAATGACGCCCAGGAGAGCAGGGGTGCATGGCTGAGGGGAGAGGCCTGGCCACGCCCAGGGTCAGGGGCTCCGCACGGCTTGCAGAAACCCCCGTCTGCTACTTTGTAGGTCTGGGCTGGAAGATCTTGCCCAGGAAGGTTTCAAACCTGGGCTGAAGCAATGCCCTTTATCCAGCTCCCAGGCCCCAGGGCTAGAAGGGTCCGCTGGTAGGGCTGAGAGGTGAGGGTGAGGGAAGCCTGGGCTGTAACCCGGGGCCGGACACCTTCCCACTTCCTGTGAGGCCAAAACAACGCCAATATAGTCAAGGCTGGGCTTGCCGGCCTTCTCCCCGGGTGGGCGGGAGCCCCAGACTCTGGGCCAGGCAGCTGAGAGCTGCCGGCTAACCTCACCCCCCGCACCCTGGAGCCGAGCAGACCCCCAGGGAAGCCCTTCCCTATTGTCCTGTTTGTGTCTTAGCGGAAGCTGGGGCTGGCCTGTCTACTCAGCAGAGGCCAGGGAGGGAAAGGCCCTGAACTGGCAGAGGAGGGAATTAGGGCCTCAAACGGTGTCCTGTCTACACAACTTCAACAACTCAGGAGGCCCCAGGCACAGGATTCACATGGCCTGGCTGAGGATTTGGGACTGGTCAGGGAATTCCGGGCTCTGTAAGGCGGCTTCAGCACCTAGCCCAGGTGGGCCAGGACCATGGTCCCTGTGCTTTCTCCCCCTTGGTAGAAACGAAAGGAAAGTTCTGGAAGGCTGGGAGAAAACCTGCCTCTCCCAGGGCAGGGTAAACATGAGTTCTATATTTCAAATCGGGATTTTAATTTCTGGTCATATTATTTTTCTTACAAAGCAGGTTTTTGCCCCAGAAAATATAGGGCAGGTTCTTGAGGGAGGACATGAGGATGAGGGAGGAGACACTGGCTAGTACTGATTGCTTTGGAGAAGAATTCCGTTGACTTAGGGCAATACTTCTAGGTCAAGAGAATCTGAGGAGGCTGGGAGAAGTACCAAATACCATCCTCTCTGTGTGTGTGTGTGTGTGTGTGTGTGTGTGTGTATGTAATTTTTAAAGAGATTTAAGCCCAACAAACAGGCCTGGGCAGTTCCCACCAGTCATGGTTTTGGGTATTTCCTGGGGGTAGTGGAGACCTGACAATGTGTGGGGTGGGGATGAGGGGAGGAATCCAGTCCTGCTGAAAAGAGGTCCAGAAACGGGTCCCTAAAAACTTCCAGTTCTGAGCACTAGAAAAGCCCAGCCATGGAAGAAATAGGGCCCTTTGAACCCTAGGGACCAAACATGCAACAAAACCCAAGCCCCAGCCTCAGGAATGGCAAGGCAATGCACCTTGGATCTTGACCCCTAGGGGTTGGGCCCTGTCACTTCGGCCTTGTGGGTAGTTTCTAGAACAAGGGAGGCAGCCTGTAGCTGGGGCCCTGAAGCAAGGCCTCAGTTAGGTGCTTTGGGAACCAGGAGATGAACAGTCAGGGCTCCTTTCGCAGCTTAGGGGCTAGGGGTGGGGGGTGGAGGGGAGGGGTTGAGGGTGGGGGACTGGGGGAATTTGTCAGGATGCCAGGATGGGTCCACAACTCAGGCCACCTGGGCATCAGGGAGCCCTGGGGGAAACCAGCAAGCTCCTACCTCCTATCTGCTCCTCTAATTTGTGTTGAAATCCTAAGAAAGGTAATATTTTCTTTTCCTTAGGAAAAAGAAAACTGGGGTTTTCTGGGCCTACCTGTGGAGGCTGAGTGGGGTCCCCCTGCCTGTGGCCCCCTGCCATGGGCCACTGGCCTTTCTGCTGGCAGAGAGCGTGGCCACTAGCTGGGGTGGAATGGGGTGGAATGAAGCAGCAATAAATAGGAACCATAAACATCTGTACATAGGAGTGCTTGCTTTTACATTTAATTATATATTTTTAAAAGTTTCTTGTTTTCTTCTCCTTCAGTGCATCCCCTTTTCCCTCAGCAAGTGGCTACCTCTTGCCAGCCTTGGGGGGGTGGCTGCAGACCACAGTGGCCCAGGCTGAGGCCCCACCTACACCCTTTCTCAAAAAAGCACAAAATATTCACAGCCTCAAACTCCTCATGGTTTTTTTTTTTTTGTTTTTTTTTTATGTGTGCGTGTGTTTTGTTTGTTTCTTTTCAAGCAACAAAAGGTATAGAAAAAGGCACAGGTAACTGCATACGTGGGAAGATAGAACAGTTGGGGGCTGAGCAGAAGCTGCTTGGACAGATGGACAGATGGGAGAGGGAGCCCATGAGAGCAAGATGATTCGAGGAAGCTGGCTGGAAACGTCTGTTGCTGAACACCAGAAGCCAGATGCTGAAGCAGGCGGAGAGAGGCTAAGTGCTTGGGGGGCCCCTGTCCTTGGGCTGGTGTGGAAGTGCCCCAGGCCCCCCACTTCCTGAGGGCTCGGGGGAGCCCTGACTGGTCCTGGGTTCCCCAGAGAGGTTCCTCCTCCGGGCTGGGAAGCGAGCGGAGGCCTCTGCCAGGCAGCCTACGGAACTGCTGCGGTCCAGGGGCGAGGCGGTGGAGGCCACGGGGTTGGCCAACGTGTGTGGTGACTCCAAGCGGGGGCTCCAGGACTCTGGCCTGTGGCCTTGGGGTAGCCGGGGCGAGGCCTCGTGCGGGGTGCAGGGGCTGTGGGTGGGCACGGGCTCTGCGGGCACCTCAGCCACTCGGGGCTCCCAGTCAGGAGGTCTGCCCAGGCCCCCACTCGTCCTCTCCCTCTCCTTGGGGTAGTCCCTGCCCTCCAGCTCCGATGAGAGTGTGAATTTGGATACCTTAGCCACAGGGGACACGGAGGCTGATGAGCTCTCAGTGGGACTCCAGCGGCCTCGCTCCTGGGCCTCCCGGGCCCCTGTCAGGTCACTGCCACCTCCTGAGAAGCCACTGACCCAGGCGGCGGTGGGCCCCGGCAGCAGGGTGGGGTGGGCCCCCGGCCGGGCCTGCACCATCTGGATCCCGCCAATGGGAATCAGGGGGCACGGGGCACGGCTCAAGTGCTGGGAGTGCAGAGGGAGGTGGCTGAAGATGTTCTCCTCTGTCCGGGCTGGGGTGTGGCCGTGGAAGTCATGGGGGGCCGAGAAGGGTCGGGAGGAGGGAGGATGAGCAGGGCCAGGTGAGCAGGTGGGACTCCAGGATGCGGCCTTCTGCTGGGGTCAGAAAATAAGACAGGGTAAGGCAAGGGCTGCGTGCTGGCACATGGAGACCCCAAGGCCTCAAGATGAGGGCTCAGGGGCTCGCCTGAGACCACACAGGAGTCCTGGCTGAGCTGGGGCGGGAGCTGAGCCCCGACTCCCTGCCCGTGGTGCTTCCCTGTGCTGGTGCACTCTCTGAGGCGGGCTGTCCCCAGCCCCGTGGTGACCATGAGCACATGTGGCCCCATGGTCTTCGTGCTTCTGGCCAGCGTGCCTGACCCTCTATCTTGGTTCTGCTGCCTCTCCTGTTCCTAGAGTGGTCTTGACCCAACTCTACCCTTGGATATGAGGTCCCACTCTAAGTTCTTTACCTTCTCCCACCCCATCAGGAATTGTAATGTGACCCCAAAATTAAAGACCAAGGAAAGATTCGCAGCCCGTGTTCCCCCAGGAGCTTGAGCCTCTGATGGTGTCGATGCTGCTGGTAGTGAAGGGTGGTGTTGGGTTATGACAATACGGCGACAGAAAAGGCACTGGGAGGTAAAGGTAAGTTGACAGTGACGGTGTTGCATGGTGGTGGCGGTGACAGGACGGTCCTGGGCTGCCGAGGTGGCAACGCTGATGGAGCTGACCCGGCGGTGGCCAGGGCCTGTTAGTGTAGTGATGGCAGAGATGGCGTTGGGGACGGGGACAGTGACGGCGCTGATGATTTGGCAGGGATGGCGTTGGTTGTGGTGTCTCTGAGGCTGCTGGTGACAGGGCTGTCGGCGATGGGGGGTCGGGGGGCTGGGAGGGGAACGGCACCAGCATTTTCCCGCCCGCATCCAAGGCCAGCCGCAGCGCCCACGCTCTGCTGCTTCTGAGGCCACCCCGGCCGGCTTCGGGGGCCCCGGCGTGGTGCCTGCCCCAGGACGCGCCCCACAAACCTCTGCTATGTTGTTAGCAATCACCGAGCTGGCAGGGCTGTGTAGCTATGGGTCTGATGCCTCAGGGAGGGGTGCAGGAGTGCACTGAGCCCCCCTCCCCACCCCCCGATCAGGGACGAGCAGCCCAGCTGCTCAGGGGCAGGAACTCACCCACGTGGAGGCGCAGGTCTCGGGGCTTCTGCCAAGAAGCTTGTGAGGTAGAGGCGCGGGCGGGTGGAGAGCCCGCGGGGCCAGCCCCGAGCCCGGGCTGCGTTCGCCTGCTGAGGGGCTGCCCGGCCCAGCCCAGGCCCACTTCCCTGGCAGCGCTGACCGTGGTGGTGAGTCGGCCTGGCCCGGGGACCGTCTCCTGGTGGGTGAGTGTCTGGGGGGGCCCGGGTCTGGGGCCCCCTTGCGTTCAGGGGGCGGATGCGCTCGAGAGGGCAGTTCTCTTCCCAGGGGGCGGGGGGTGAGAGGAGATAGCTCGAGTCGTGGAGACCCACAAGGGAGAGGGCCCGGCTGGGGGCCAGGCGGGCTGGGGGCGGAGGCCTGTGGCTCTCGGGCCGGTGAGTGTCGCTGGGGAGACGAGTCGCTTTTGCTTAGTGAGTGTTTGTGGGTCAGTTGTGGGCGGCTGCCTGCTTCTTTGCTTGGGGACCACGGCCTCCTTGGGGACACAGCCTTGGAGCTCAGGGCTGAGCCTGTGTCCTTCTCCACAGGGCCCGAAGGGGCCGGTCCCAGCCAGGGGAGGCACAGGGCGCTTTGGCTGGACATGGAGCAGCTGCCGGCTGCCAAGCGCTCGGCTTCCAACCCCGAGCTGCCCCGCGTGGCCTGGCTACCCGAGGTGGCATCTGGGGGCTGAGGGCCCGGACCAGGGGAGGAGTCTGCCGGCAGCGGGGCCGGTGGGCCAGGCGGGGGTGCCTCTGAGGCCGGTCCCGATGGCTCGTCCTGGCTCTCCTCTTCATCCTCATCCTCGTCTTCGTCCAGGTCCGAGTCCGAGTCCGAGTCCTCCAGGTCTGAAAACTGGTGCTCCGCCACGGCCTCTGAGCCCTCTCGCCCTTCTGAGTCCTGGAACGGGTCATCACTGGTTCCTGAGGGGTGGACAAAGGAGACCCCGGCGTCACAGCCGGCTCCACACGCTGCCCTCTGTGCCCGTGTCCTTGTTTGCAAGCCGGGCCTGACAGTTGTGGTCATGGCTCGAGCTTGTGGAGAGGATGGGGGCCACCACAGGTATGGGAACACTTCGTCAAGAATCCCAGTGAACAACAGTTACCTTGTAATCTACCCTGTGCCAGGTTCCTTCTACGACCTTCACGTGTGTTAATTCACCTAGTTCTCAAATGATCTCGGGAGGTTGGCATTGTTCTTATCTTCATGTTACAGATGAGGGAACCAAGGTAAGCAAGCTTAAGTAGCTCGCTCAAGTAAGATAAGTCCCAGGGCTGGGACTGAACCCTAGCAAAGGAGACAACCCTTTTTGTTAGTTTGTCTCTTCACTAGGATGTCAGTGCTGGCTCCCCGCTGAGCCCGTGAAGTCACCTTGCTGTGCTGTCATCTCCCCCTTTGTCAAATGAATGTGACCGTCTCACCTCCCTCACCGGCTTGGCCAGGAGAAGTAAACACACACCTGGCACAGAGAAATGGCTCAAATAATTACGGCCCCACAATACGCTCATGAAGAAATCTATCATCCTGGGACCCAGCAGCCAGGCTGGCCGGCCCAGCAGCTCCAGCTGCCCTCAGTCTAAACACACATCTGCCACCATGGCCAGGCTGCTGCCGGCTGGCCCAGTAGCGTTGGGCAGGGGGCAGGTCCTGGCCTCTGGGGGGGACGAGGGGAGGTGGTGGCTAAGCTGGCCTCAGACGGCAGAGCAGGGTCCCATCCCCGCTGCTCTTGTCCAAAGGACCTGTTGCGCTTGCAGAATTCCTGCCGCCCCCAGCCAGGAGGGAATGGAGCTCTGGAATACCTCCTGGTCTGGCTGCTGGTGGGGCAGCCCCAACCAGCCGGGTCACTTCGAACATGACACCAGTCTAGTGTGGGCATCTCTGAGATGCGCGGCAGTCAGGACTCGGGGGAGAGCTCTGCTAACATCTGGCCCACCTGTCAGGCTCCTGAGGGTTTGGGTCCTGCTGGCCCCTCTCCGGGCGCATCGCCAGCCCCACCGCTTCACTTGGACACACCACACCCATTCCACCGCCGACCAAGAGAGCTGGACACACAAGCTCACTCGGACCATGGCTGCAGCCGGGCTTCCAAACTCCACCATGCCCAGCGGCCCTGGGGCTGGAAAGCCTAGCGTTCATGCTTCTGAATAGCTCAGCATGCAGCGGTAAGATACCTGAAGTGGATGATGGTGGGTCAAAAACCATGGGGTGAAACGGGTTGGCAGGTGAAGGGCGGGCCAAGGGACCAAGGGCAGGTCTCCTGACAGCCGGGAGCAGAGGGGAAGGAAGGAGGGATGTGGATGGGGGGAGGAGGGTATGCAAAACACATAGTTGCAATGCCTCATGCCCTGCCTCAGACCTATTTCAGACCCAGCAGTTAGCCTAGCCTCACCCCTCATTTACATATGGGGAAATCCAGGCCCAGAGGGGGCAAGGGCTTCCTCCCCAAGATCAGCCAAGGGATAGTGGCTGAGTCAGGACTAAGGTTTACAACCCTTGCATTATTACATTGCCAGTATGAAAATGATGTTTATGCACCGAGAAGCAGGAAATGGTCTGGGTTTGGATCCCAGCTTTACCCTTCCTTGCTGTGTGATGTTGTATAATTGACTTTATGTTCAGTTTCCTCATCTATAAAATGGGGGTAAGAGCAATAAAAATCACCTCATGAAACTGGTGGGAGGATAATGAGGGTCTGACACATAGTAAGTACGCAATAAAACTTAGCAGGCATCTCAAGTACCCCCATACCCCAAGCAGATGATCAGCATTGCAAGCATCTCACGGTTGATGGTCAGAGGAGTAATTTTACTAGTGAGGGAGAGTCAAGACCAGTATCCCCTTGATATCCAGCAGGGAGGGCTCCTAAACAGCCTCTTTACCGATGAGGACGTGGCGGCCCAGAGTGGCCTGCCCTAGGCACCCAAGGCAGGAATGATGGAAGCCAAGGGTCCCCTGTGACCTGGGCTCCTGCAGGGCTGTATAGGATGCCTTTGCCTGGGGGGCCCATCCCCAGCGCCCCCCATGGCGCTGCCAGTCCACTGCTGGGATCACCGGCAAGGCTCCATCCACAAAGCCCAGCCAGCTCCAGGCCTGGGACCAAGGAGGAGATGGAGAATGAAGCCTGCGAGGACGCCGAGGGGGTCTGGCCACACGGTGGCGCTGGTGCCCAACCTCCTCACTGTCAGGGGAGCGGCTGCGGTGGGTACCTGGCCACAGGGAGGAGGTGGTTTCCAGGCTGTGCTCCCCACCGCCACTTGGTGTCTAGCAGACAGGCTCCTCCCCGAACCTTCCTCATCATCATGGGAAGTGGCAACTCCATCCTTCCACTTTCTTAAGCCATAAACCTCGGACTCATCCTTGGCTCCTTTTTTCTCATGCCACCACCAGTCCCCCTTCGTGGTAGCAAAACCTGTCGGTTCCACTTGCAGAATGTTTCCAGAACCCTACCACTTCTCCCCACCTCCACCCAGTCCAAGCCAACGTGTGCTCGGCCTGACAACTGCCTCCAGCCGCACCCCTTCTCGACCGTCCTCTGCACACAGAGTCACTGAAAGTTGGGGGACATTACTCCGCTGCACTGCCAAGCCAGTCCCTTGACCTTCATGGCCTTGTTCTCTGAGCTCATCTCCCCCCACTTGGGTCCTCGGGATCTCTGGACCTTCTGTTCCCTCTGCAGGGAGAGCCTTTCCCCAGACCCCCACCCCCACCCCTGCCAGCTTCCTCACCCCTCCCTTCACGTTCTCTGCTCACACCTACCAGAGTGAACCCTCCCCACATCTCCCAGCCCCTCACTCACATTTTTCCTTCCTACTCATTGACCCTGCCCTATTCCGCATTTGTTCACTGCCCTGCTCCCTTCGAGAATGTAAGCTTCCAGAATAAAACATAGTTCTATTCACTGTGGGATCTCCAGCAGCTCGAACAGAGCCTGGGACAGGGCAGGTGCTCAGTAAATATTTCTAGAACAAATGCACTGATTTTATCCTCAAACAAGGTGGGTATGGTTATCCTTTTTTGCCTCATTGGGAAAATGAGATTGGGAGAGGGGCAGGGACCAGCGCTGGGTCCCTCAGGGGACCCTCAGTGAGGTGCAAGTTGCAACCTCTTGACTCTCACCCAGGGTGGGCTCTGCACTCGGGCTCCGGCTCCCTTAGGTCCAGCCCACCAGGCACTGGGGTGGTGTGCAGCCAGCATTTTGTGTGACCTTGAGCAGCCGCCTTTACCTGTCTGAGGTTTACTTTCCTCAACCTAAAATGGGGCAACATAAGTTTCTACCGCTAGTTATGAGGACTCAGTGAGACAACAGGTGTAAATGGCCTAACGTGCATTCTGGTAAGCACGGTAACCCCACATTCTCATTTTGGTGGCAACAGCCCCATGTTCACTGTGTTCAGTTCAGTAGAGGTGATTTATTCCTCCTAAAAGGAAACGTGCTTTAACTCTTCTGTAAGACTGTAAATAGATCTTGAAATCAGAAAAACAAAGACACATGCACACACATACACACACATACACACACCCCCCTTTGTCACACTCTAAATCCTGATTCTGATTTTAGGGAATCTGGCCAAAGGGTTGCTGGGTACAGGAGGAATGCCCCTGGCCTCCCTGACCTCCCTTTGCCCGGGGTGGGGAGGGGGAGACACTGTCCACCTGCCACAGTCCGTCTGGCCTCCTCCCCGGAAGCTGTGGCTGACCAGGGCCTTTGACTCCCCCTCTCCTCTGCTGGGCTTTTTCAGAAGTAGGCTCTAATGTGCCTCTTGCTGATGGAGGACTTTGGCCATGGTGCAGTGCTGGGGACGTGGGATGAGATGGGGAGGTGGCAAGGGGCTGTCAGGTCTGGCTTTGGCTCTCTTGAAAGCTTCCCAAGTTCGGAAAGACCCAGGTGTCAGGCTCAGGCCCAGAGTATGGAGGTGTGGGTGCGGGTGTGGGAGTGTGTAAGAGTACGTACGTTACGGCATCACCGGGAGGATTTATGAGATAATTCACAGCACGTGTCTACAACGCTCCTGCCACAGAGTGGGTGCTCAGGCAATGTTAACTACGATTACTCATGTGCTAGTTTATTCAACACACATTCACTGAGCACCTGCAAGGTGTCAGGCAGGCATGCCACCTCCTTGGTAGATGGTAGCACACACTCACTAGGACGGCACAGCAGGGACTGTGTTTGGAGAGGCAGAGGTGACCCCCCTGTGAATTTGACCATTCTCTCCCAGTAGGTGGGAAAACTGTAGGCGAGGGCCTGGAAGAGGGAGAGAGAGCAGGGAGAGGACAGAAGGGAAGGGAGGGCATGGGGACAGGTGGAGGGGCAGGCAGAGGAAGAGGGGGAGGTGGCGAGGGGGGGAAGAGGCAGGGAGGAGGGAGTTGGCAGTTGGTTACCTTCTTCGGCTTCCTGCTCCTCCAGCACCCCTGTCTCTTGGCACTTTTTGCTGTGGGCCTTCGACTTCATGTGCTTAGTCAGATTCCCTGGAAAGAAATGAGAAGGGACTCAGGCTCGGCCGCGGGGCAGGGGGCCAGCGTGGGCCCGGGGCTCACAGACACAGTGCCTGGCGGCAGGCTGTGGCTTCAAAGACCTGTCAGGGCCCCTTGGGCTGCAGGGGCTGGGAGGGGCTGGGGGGGGGTGCTGGGACATCCTTGCACCCAGGTGCTCAGGCTGGGAGGAGCCCCACAGCCACCATTCAGGACAGTACCCAGGAGCTGGGGGAGGGCGGGGAGGGGGCTGGGAGAGGGCTGGGAGAGGGCAGAGGGTGTAATGAGGAAGCGAGATGCTGGTTAAAAAACAAACAAAAAAGAAATTAAAAAGACAACTCATGTGTAATAGGTTTTTCCGCTTTGGGTTTAACTCTGGGCCCAGCAGCTAGTGACCCTCATTGAGCAGGATTTTTGGCCTTCTCAGATGCTGGGATTCCCAGAGGGCCCGTTAACCGAAAAGCTGGGTGGGTACTGAGGATGCCCTTCCGACTGAGGCCACACATAGTGGCAACCCACAGGGTTTAGGAAGAGGAACCAGGACAAAGTTACTGTTAGAAACGGAGAAAGAGCAGAAGGTGTAGGGAAGTCTGCTGGACAGGGACCTGTGAGCCACAAAGCTGGGGCCCAAGCCCTACCTTCCTCAGAGAAGTCCTGTCCTGGGCCTCCGTTTCCCCCAGGTCACTGTGCTGTGTAGACACAGGCAGGGAGGGCTGGGCAAAGGCTCTGCTCACTCCATCCCTGACTCTGCCCTAAGCGGTCCGTCCAGCCCCACAGCTGATGAGCAGGGGCGGCAGTTCTGCCATAAACCTCTGTGGGCAGGAGCACCCTGGGAAGGAGAGGCAGAGCACCCCAGATGCCTCAGGATGTTCCTTTGGGCTCAGCAGCCACCTCCAAATTGTGATGGTCTCACTGTGGCCCGCAGATTGCTACATTTGCACATGATGGTTCATATGATAATCCTAAGTGCCCCGAGTCAGGTGCCCTGTCTCACTGAGCTTATTAGTTGGCAAGTTTGACTAGATGGATGGAAGAGAGAAGAATGGACACTTCAACGATGCATGGAGAGACTGGTGGGTGGATGGATGGATGGATGATGGATGGACGGACGGATAGATGGGTAAGTGGATAAGAGGAAAAATGGCGTGAAGGAAGAACAGGAAGAATATGGACAGATGGACAGGGCACTGGATGGAGAGACAGATGCGGAATAGATGGTTAGATGAAAAAAATAAATAGGAGGATAGCTGGAAAATGGGCTCATAAACAGGTGGGGAGCTGGAGAACTGGAGAGGAGGAGAGAGGCAGGGGTGAATGGGAGAGTGGCGGGTTGGGTTGCACGGGTGAGGGGCTACATGCAGGAGGGGCAGACGGGAAGATAAAGGACTGGGCAGGTGGATGGAAGGATGGATTGGTGGGAGGACAGATGTGAGAACAGGAGGAACAGACAGGACGAGAGAAGAAGTGGAAAGATATATGGATAGGAAGACAAACTAGGAGATGGGAGAAATGGCTAGATGGGAGGATAGATGGATGGGTGGGTGGGTAGAATAGGAGAGAGTCCACGGGTGAACCAAAGGGTGCTTCGTAATCATTCTGAGAATTTTAAGGAATTTGTAGGGTTTTGCTGAGAAGGTGATGGAAACCTTAACCTGGGATTCCCTGAGGTACGTAGGTCAAGGGCAGCAGGGATGGAAGGGGACTTGTTTCTTTCCTTTCTTCCCTTTACTCCTAGTCTGTGACTGTACCCTTCCCCACTCAGATTTTCCTTCTATAACCAGACAGAAACCTGGATCTTTTACTCCTGGCCAAAGGGAAAGCAGAGTCAGAATTTCCAGAAGTATTCTGGGGCCAGAGGGTCCCCAAGGGTCCCTACCTAACACTGGGGGCCTCTGCCCTGTCATGAGCAAGTAAAGCTTGAGTAGGACGTCAAGGGCTGGTGAAGGCAGCTGGGGTCTTCCATGGGCCAGAGATATCAGCGGTCTCCTGAGGTCCTGGGACTGGCGCACTGTCCCCAGACCACAGAGGATTGTTCACACTGCTCGTTCTGGCTAGGACATTATTTGCTATACATGTTCCGTCAGGAAGGTTTGGGTCTCTTTTCAACAGTCAGGTGCTGAGCACACAATGGATGCACAATCACCACATATGGGCAATGCTCTCCTCATCACAGAAGCAAAGTGTTGGAAGGAACCTCACAGACCATGGAACCCAAGCGCCACCAGGCCCAGGGTCGGGGGAGGGTGGTTTCTTGCTTCTGCTCTAACTCTGGGCCCCGTGATGCCGTTAGACACGATCATTGACTGTCTCAGCTGCTGGGATGCCGCGGGAGGGCTCCTGTTGACCAGCAGAGTAAACCCACCGGCCCAGCCCCCCCGATCGTACAGAGCCCCGTCTAGAACCAGGTTTTGGGGCTCCAGGGGTATTGCTTGCTGCACACTGGCAGAATCGACCCGGGCTGGTCAAGGAGCTTGCTGGCCCCGGGTTTGAGTTTGGGCTCTGCTGCTTGCTAGCTGTGTGCTCTTGGGCAAGTTTCTTAACCTTCTGAGCTCCCGTTGCCGCAACTCTGAAGTCATACCTACCTCTTGGGGGTGCTGGGAGGAGCTGATGGGCTAGTGCGGGGAGAGGGGCAGCACAGTGTGCCTGGCACACAGCAGACGCTTGCCTGGTGGAGCCCCCTGCCCTCCCGAGCCGGGAACCCACCCCTGCCCGCATGACCACCACCCTGTACTGGGCGCCAGAGACTCTGCCAGGCGCCATGCTGGCTGTGGACAGAGAGGCGAATGGCTTCACCCTCCGGTCTGGGCTCAGGGGCTTCCAGGAGAAGGTGCCGGTGGCCCCTGGAGGCTGCAGGGAGGAGTCGGGGAGTCTGAGGGGACTCTGCTAGGTCAGGCCGTGTGGTGTGGGTGACAGGAGACGACCTGGCTGAGCAGCCCCGAGTGTTTCCCGGTGCCCTCCCCGACCTCCCCTCCCTTGGCTTCTTCTGTGAACTCAGGGAGGTGAACCCCATGGCAGCAGGTGCCTTTTTTCGGCTCGGACATCACTTCTCTGTCAAGGCGCAGAGCCTCGGCTTGCCAGGCACAGCCCACAGCTTCTCACAGTCGTCCCCACCCCCGCCAAAGGCCCCCCAGTCCTGGAATGAAGGAGGAAAGGCAAGCGGATGGAAAATGATGAGTGTCTGGAAGAGGCGGGACCTCTGCCGAGGGCATCAGCCAATGACTCTGCCTCCTTCTGCTCGGACCCACCGCCCTCCTTCTGCCCCCGCAGCTGTCACCTTTGTCCCCTGCGGCGACCGGTGCGAGGGCCTGTACGCAGCACAGCCACCCCGCTGGTGTCCGGGAACCATCTGAGAAGAGGAAAGGGGACCCCCCCCCCAACCTCCACAGGGACATCCTGGCCACCTTTCCCATGTGCCCCCCCCCACCCGCCCCGAGACACCTCAGCTCGCGCCCAGGGGCCCGAGCTGCCGCCGCGATGTCTGACACGGACACGGAGACACAGACAGGCAGACAGAGACGGACAGGAAGGGCTCCCTGGGCCTGGGCGCAGCCAGGTGGTGGTGCGGGAGGGGCCTGCGGAGCACCAAGCCCAGCCGGAGCCCTGGGGTGAGAGGGGAGGGAGGGTGTGCAGCCTGAAGGAAGCCGAGAGCCTGGGAGGAGGCGCCGCAGGTTCCCAAGCCATGGCTGAAGGCGCATCGCTCCAGGAGGCCAAATGGGCCCTGGAGGAACAGGAGCCTCAGCGTCCTGCACCTTCCCTCACTCCCCACGTGCAGGGACAGCCACGAGCAAGCTTCCTCTGCTGCAGCTGGCCACCCCAGCCCTGACCGGCCCCTCTCGGCAGTCACAGTTTGAGAGTCCACCATTTCAGATTCGCTTACTGCTTTGGCTCTGAAGGTGTTGTCTTCTAGAAGCCTCTATGAGCACTTGAAGAGAGCTCAGAACACTCCCTGATCACTGGCTGAGAACAGAGCCTCCTGGGCCTGGCCTGTGGGGCAGTGTGGGCGAGCCTGCACACCCGGGGTGCCAAGGGCCAGGGCATGCGAGGGGTCTGCAGCCCCTCTGCTCAGGTTATGCCCTCTGGCCCTTCCGGGGCTCTGTGCCGGCTCAGAGGGACCCAGGAAGGGACTACGGATAGGCTTGGCAGGGCCTCCAATGGAAAGAGCTCTGGAAAAGAGGTGTTCCTGCCAGGGACCAGGCCTTTTCTCTCCACAAAGGCAGGGGGAAACTGAACAGGGACCCCTCTTTGGAGAGACTGCTCTGGCTGGGAACTTAGTCAGACGGGTTTTTCTAGTCTCACATGGCAGGGGGAAGACTCCCCAAGATGGTTCTGTGGGCGCTGGACACAGGTGTGCTCTGGATGGCCCTGGGCTGGGATGTACTCTCAGTACTGGGCTCCTCACGCCGAGAGCAGAACAGGGTGGTCCCCTGGACACAGCCTGGAAACAGGGACAGCCGTTGTGACCCACTCTGGAGGCCACCTGATCAGTCACCTGATTTTGCCATTCCTTCCAGAGAAGGGATCTTCTCACCGAGAGGAAGGTGATGGGGGCGATGCCCTGAGGTAGGGGTCCTAGGTTCTTGTTACAGCTCTAGCGTTAACAGTCACTTGGTTGGGGGGGACCTGCTTTCTTCACCTTCAAGGGTGTTTTGGACAAGAGGCTTTTTACTCTGTTACTTAAATTATCAGTCAACTATTCCCATCTCTCTTCTTCCATAAAGTTCCACTGGCTGCCTAAGGCCAGAGGGAGTGGGACTGTAGGGGACACAGCGGGGACAGAGCCCACATCCAGGGCCAAGGCATGCTGGGTTGCGCTGCCTTGGACCTGGCAGGGCTCTGGGGCTGGATGCACCCATGACGTGGGGGGCCGGGCTCCAGGACTATCTGTCCTCTCTGGGGACCCTTTGAAACATTGCTTATGAGACGCCAAGAGAGCAGAAGATCAGAGAAAGAAAGTGGGAGGGAGGGCGCCTCCATGCCACCCGAAACCTAGGTGGGAAAGGTTGAGGTCCACTGAGAAGGATGGCCAGAGGACAGAGGAGGGCACGGGTCGGTGGACGGGGTTAGGAGAGCAGAGACGGAGCTCGGGCAGAGAGGGGCCGTGAGCCAGGGGATGTGGTAAGCTGCCCCGGACCTGGTCCAGAGAGAGCGGAGGGGGCCAGCAAGAGGAAGAGGAAGGGAGAAAGGCTGGCGAACTCTGCAGGGCTTGGCCTGACCTCTCTGGCTAGAAGCAGCTTGACCAACAGAAGAAAGATCAACAAGTGGCACAGCTGAATCAGCTCTCAGGTTCTGTCCGCGGAAATGCCATGTGGCTCCAGTGGGGGCCGGCATGGAGGCCCCCCACGTGCTCAAAGCGGGGAGGCAGGACCCTCATGCCCAAACCCTGACCCAAGAATCTGCAAAGCACGAGAGGCTGAAGCCATCAGGGGGGTCAAGAGCCCCAAGTCTTCCCGGGCTTCATCTCTGTCCCTCCGCTCAGCTACCAGGAAGCGATGCGCAAGCAGCCCTGTCTTCCCTGCCTAGCCTTCGGGAACAGTCAACGCAGTGCGCGGGGAGGACTCGGCCTCACTTGTTCACACGAGGGTCCGGGCAGCTGCAGCGGGACCCTTCCTTTCTCAGATGACTGCCAGAGCCTGTGCTGAGCCTGCCTCGAGGTGTGGCCGGGGCGGGCAGGCCAGGGCTGCCAGCCGGGCGGGGGGCGGGCGGGCCTGTGCTGAGAGCTGCAGAGGAGCTGGGCGGGTGGGCAGGAACATGGTCTGAGTGGTGAGGCGGGTGGAGGCAGGGGCGAGCTCTGCCATGAGAAGTGACCATGCGAGTGTGCTAAGTGGCTCGGAGTGGAATGGAGTCGCAAGAGTGGTGGTGACAAGTGTGGATGCTGGAGCTCACCAGCTCAGTGAATCAAGGGCTAAGGAGACATGCAGCAGGACAGGGTGAGGAGGGAAAATGGAAACCAGGAACCGTGTGCAAGAGCGCCACCAGGCGGCGGTGGGCGGGAGCACACAGGCGGAGGAGCTGTGTGGGATCCAAGAGGACAGGCTGGGACAGCCAGGGGGTGCCACGGCCCAGTCTGGAGCCGGCTGCTCTGCCACTGGGGAGCCCAGGCAGTGTTGGGGGCGGGCAGAGCTGTCCGGGCCTCTGAGCTCTGTGCTAGGGCTCCTGGAGGGGAGCTCCCTACAGTGGGCCGGGGCAGTGCTCCAGCTGACTGTCTCTTACCTTTGGTTTTAAAAGCAAAGTGACAGTGCTTGCACACATAGGGCCGGACGTCAGTGTGGGTGCGGATGTGTTTCTTCAGCATGCTGGGCTTCTTGCAGCGAATTCCACACTCCTCACAAACATATTTCCCTCGGCCGCGGCCTCGCACATATACATACTCTTCGTTTGATTTGTACCTATGAGCAACAGGCGTCATGGTAAAGGAAAAAAAAAAGGAGGAGAAGAGGCTGGTTCCCACCTCAGAAGATGCACACGCTTCCTAGCCGCCTCCAGCCCTTCGTGGATATTGGGCGAGGAGGACTCGAACCAGAGAGAACCGCGTGGGGGCAGTGCGGGGGAGGGGGTGCGGGTAGTCGCCCTGGGGATCCACCACGGACCCCTTGCACCTGCCCTGCCCTCGGCCCAGTACGGCTGCCCCCTCTCTTCCCTCCGGAGGCAGCAGACCCTGTGCTTCCTGCCGGGAAGTGAAGCCACAGGTTCACGGAGGGTCTCTGCTCCAGAGCCAGCCTTGGCCCCAACCTCTGCCCGCAAAGGACAGCCCCTCTGGGCCCGCAGAGTCACAACGCGAGGGACAGAAGGTAACAACCACACTCTAGCGGCTTCAGTGGCTCCCACCTGCCGAGCGTTCCGTCCGTGCCGGGCACTTTACACAAACTAAATCACCATCATGAGCACGATATGGACCTAGGATCTGAACCTGCCTGCTCCAAAGCCTGTCCACCTCCCAGGAGTGCTAAAACCGTCTGCTCGGAAGCCACCTGGACACCGGTGTGAGGGGAGGTGGGAGGGACCGCCACCACTTCCCTGTTCTCAGAGTCAGAAACTAGGAGCCCTGCGTGCTCTCCCGACCACATCTCCAGATGAGCTGTAAAGCTCTCAGGACCCAGATTCCAGCCACCTTGCCCCCAGGAATCCCCTGGGGTCATTACATTAGGGCCCAAAGCTTTCCTAGGGCAGTTCCTGGGGCAGCCAGCCCACCTGCCAGGCCTCGGGGCCACCAGTGCTCTTGGACCTGGACCAGAATGCTCTTATTTCCACCTAGAAGGAAGCCCACGAGGCTCACACAATACGATCCTCATCAAAATGCCTCATTAGCCTCTGATGCTATAGGGGTGCACGTCTCCTGAGTAGGGCAGGAAAGGCTCTGATGGGGCCAGGGGGTGCTTCCTGGTGTGATTCCAGGAGAAGAGCCTTCTGATGCCTGAGGCTGGGGGGTCTGATGGCATGGGTGCCTTGGGCGAGGTGCGGCCTCTCGGCCAGCTGAGCATGACCCCAGCACCCAGCACGAGGCCTGCCTGTCCCCCACACTCATGCTATACAACAGGTCCCTGCCCAGGGACCTTGGCACTCAAACTCGGGGCAGGTGCAGGGTGCAGGGAGGTGGCTGGGAGAAGGTGAGGCAGTCGGGACAGCAGCTGGGACTCAGGCCTACTCTGCAGGGGCCATGAGCTTATGGCTGAGAGGATGTCACAGGATGACCTGGAAGAGGGGACTCTATGGGAGGGAGCCAGCAGGTGGCACATCACACACACACACTCACATACACCCATACTCATACACTCACACACACTCACATACACCCATACTCATACACTCACACACACAGTCACATACACCCACTCATACACTCACACACACCCATACTCACACACTCACACACACCCATACTCATACACTCACACACCCATACTCACATACACCCATACACACACACACTCACACAACCCATACTCATACACTCACACACACACACTCACATACACCCATACACACACACTCACCTACACCCATACTCATACACTCACACACACACTCACATACACCCATACTCACACAC